GGACAGACTTCCAGGGAGAGAGCAGGCAGGGACATAAGGAAGGACAAAAGCCTCCTTTTCACTCTGAGCAGGGCAGTCCCAAGAGCAATGGAAATGCAGTAAGAGGACAGTAGGGACCTGTTTCGCCAGTATGCAAATCATGTAATGAAATACAAATGACGTAGCAAGAACCCGGTGTGACTCACCCCACATCTGACTCTGCCAGTTCAGACCAGAGGAGCCGGCCTGAGTTCAGCCAGACCTCTCCAAAGAGGTTTTGTTGGAATTCCACAGGACCCCAGTTTTGAAGCTAGGACCGGGAAGGAGGAGAGAACTCCATTTATGGAGTGCATTCGGTGTGCTGGGGACTTTCACATACATCCTTTTGGGGATCAGGGCTCGCGGGGGGACACGCAACTTTCATTCCTGTCTATAGTCAGCCGTTTTATTTTAGCAATTGGAAGAAACATCTTAGTATAAGAACGAGATTTCATTTTTAATTTTGATATTCTTTTTTTTTCAGGGAGGGAGTTAACTTTATAAGTGTGTCTTTCACAATTTTGAGCAGAATAGATGCTCGCGACAGGTGTTTATTTTTTATTATTATTATTTTTTTAAGATTTTATTTATTTATTTGACAGGGAGACACAGTGAAAGAGGGAACACAAGCAGAGGGAGTGGGAGAGGGAGAAGCAGGCTTCCTGCGGAGCAGGGAGCTCGATGTGGGGCTCGATCCCAGGACCCTGAGATCATGACCTGAGCCGAAGGCAGACGCCCAACGGCTGAGCCACTCAGGCGCCCCTGTGTTTACTTTTTAAATGAACGAATCTCATTACATAAGAGAAAGCAGAACTTCAGAGAAGCAGAGTGACATCCTACAGATGGCATAGAGCAGAGCAAAGATTCAGATTTGGTTTTGCTCTGATTGCAAATCAGACCCTTTTCTGCAATGTTACACTGACGCTTAGAAGTGGATTCTGCCAGCCCAGAGACCTTCAGGCAGATGGGGAAGTAAAGACAGGTAAATCAGGACCTCAGGGCTGTTGACCTCTGTGAGAGGTCAAGGCGATTCAGCCTTTCTGGTTTTGTCCAGCTCTGCTTAGGTCTTTCCTAACCACTCTTTTGCAGGATGCCTAGGACTTTTCCTGAGGCCCTGCAGAAATTCCGATTCCATGCAAGTCTCCTTACTGTTTGGTCCAGGACAAGGACCACAGTATCGTTGTGGTCCGGAGTGTGACTTCCTCCTGTGCAGTGGGAATGAATGCAGTCTCCTGCCCCTTGTCCTGTCCCCAGGTGCAGGTTTCCAAGGGAGCAGGGTGCTCCAGAAAGTTCTCTCTGGTCACGGTGAGGCCCAAGCCTCTGGTACGGAGAGCCTCACAAGAACTGGGCTATGAACCAGCAAAAGCCAATCCATTTAGCAGTAGGATTGGTGGGGCACGGAAGGACTTACCAGATCCTTTGGTCAACCTCAAAGCCTATTGCGACCAGCTTCTCAGATCAGAAGTAGGCACGATGTGGAAGGTCATCGTGCAATCTTTTGCTTTAGTAATCATCTTGTTTTGGTGAAATCAACCACAGTCAATGAGGAAATCTCATTCACCAAGGCAAAGGGTGATACAGATTTCTGAAGAGCACCTTGAGTGCCCGGTCCTGTGTGTCTCATTTGATCCTGGCAACCGGGAGAAAGAGATACTCTTGTACCTGTTTCCCAGATGAGAAGTTGAGGGACCACCCACTTAGGAAGTGATAGAGTCAGGGCTGCTTCACCCCTCAAATTCACGCTACTCTTGCTTCTCTGCTTCCCCCTGAAGCCCCAGCTGCAGACGTCAAGGTCAGTCCTGAGACCTTGACCTGGATCAATGTGTTGGTTACGGATGGATAGCGAGGAGCAAGTTTCAGCGTGCTGCTGGCCATTCCACATCTGACTGCTTCTGCAGGGCATTCTTTGCCCGTGGCCCCTGCTCTGTTCTCATTCAGAAGCACTCCCTTCCTGAAGCTCTCCTGGTTACTGGTCTCTTCCTCTCTCCTCAAGTTCCTCTCCTGTATTTATTTATTTATTTTTTCTTTACTTAAGCTCCAGCCTTTAGTATCTGAGTCAGTGGAAGGGGAGATGTGTGCCATGTCCGGTTGGGAAACCCACCCTTCCTCTGCCCCACCCTGATTTCCAAGGCCCATGACCTAAACTCTGCGCGGAGGGGCAGGGAGAAGTTGGAGGATTTTTTTTTTTTTTTTTAAAGATTTTATTTTATTTATTTGACACAGAGAGAGAGAGACAGCTAGAGAGGGAACACAAGCAGGGGGAGTGGGAGAGGGAGAAGCAGGCTCCTGGCCGAGCAGGGAGCCCGATGCGGGGCTCGATCCCAGAACCCTGGGATCATGACCTGAGCCGAAGGCAGACGCTTAACGACTGAGCCACCCAGGCGCCCCGAGTTGGAGGATTTTAAACAAGCCTTTTCTGAGGATCTGCAGATTATTTTATTTGTGAGAAAACCTAAGGCTCGGTGAGATTTTTCTGATGAGCCCTTGGTGTTCTTTCTGTCCCTGACCTGGCCCTTGTCTACTGCCAAAATGATGGAGGAAGGCCAGATCACGGGAGGCACAATGCAAACAGACTGTTGCTTTTGCCCCGAGACTTGTGTTATGTGGGAGCTACACCAGCGTTATCCCATCCCCACTCCTGGAAGGAAAGGATCTTTTGATTCACGATTGCAGAATCCACTGCTGGCTCATTTCTGCGCAAACGAGGGGTAGCCTTTGACCTCCAGGTTATTTTTTATGGTACTGAGGGCCTTGCTTAAAATCATTTAATTTTTCAGCATTTGCTTACAGTAACATTTCCCAGTTGTGATTCAATAGATAGATACTCTGTAAACGTCAGTAAGTATTGTCAGTAGTAAAATTAAGGATTTCCTATAGAGCATTTACCATCTTTGGTTAAAAGACCGTTAGTACTCCACGGAGTATGGTTTGAGAAAGACTGACCTACTAAGTAAAAACCAGGTTCCTTAGTTTGATATTCACACCCTTCCTGAGCCCCCCTTTGCCTCTGTAGCCCTGTGGTTATCAGTACCCCCACCCGCACCCTGAAGAGCTGTACTGAAAGCTGTGAGGTTCTCCAGAACTCTGGCTTCTTTCTAGGCCATTGCTCTGCCTGGAATACACACCCCTCACCGCTGTCCCCTCAACTCCTAGCAAATGCAGATTCATCTTTAGGACTCAAGTCAAGTGCTCGTTCCCCTGTAACTGACCTTGGCTCCCCAATTTTCTTCATAATTCCTAGGAAACCAGTAAGTGCCCTTGCTTGTTTTCATGGATTCCCCCAATGAACGAACACTCTGTAGGGCAGGAATTACAGCTTCCCATTTCTGTGTCCTTAGCATCTGTTGGAGTGCCTGGCTTATTTGTTTGTTGGTTGGTTTTCTGGCTAGTTGTACAGTTTTGGCCTTTTAGATTATTTTTAGCATAATTTCTTTCAAGTCTTTTCCTCCAGATCTTTTTAGGATGTCCCTAGGAATCTGATGGGATTTACGTATCAACTTTAAGAGCTTTTAAGTTGAGTGTTTATAAATAAAAATTCTAGCTGTCTATTCAACTTGTCCTTTATGTCCCTTACTTCATACAGGGTCCTATGTAGTTCTTGGTAAGCTAATTACTGTTTATAGAATCACGTTGGCTGCTGTGAGGATTTTACCTCTTCTTAGAGATTTTTAACTGGTTGTTTTACATAGGAGAAACTGCTGACCTTTATCGCTGTTTAGCAGCCAGCATCAGTGCATTCTTTATTATTATTTTTCATTTGTTATTCTTAGATTGCCCAAGAATGCATTCATAGACTTTCATAGTGATTATAAAGTTGTCTGCTGTTGTGTAGGCCTGGGTTTGGAAATCGTCTTCCAGGTAGTTTGAGGAGTCAGTGCTAGGCTGTCTTCCCCCACTAGCAAGGGTGGCTCCAGAAACTTCCACTTGTCTTTTGCCTCAGGACCAGTCACTGGCTTGCTCCTTCCTGTCCCCCAGAGGAAGGTGTCCCTTTGTCTCAGGAAGGGCTGAGGCCTGCCTCTGCCTCTGTCCCAGGTCTATCTTCGAGCCATCAGCTCCTCCCCTCCGCTCTCTTCCCCTTTCTCCTGGTCACCCCCAGTGCCTGCCTTTGATTGGTCATCGGAAGTTCCCCTTGTCCAGTTGCCTTTTCCCCCTCCTTTCCCAAGTTCCCACAGGAACCTGGGAAGTAGGTTGTGCCCAGAGGTTAGAACGGAAACTGCAGCAAGATAACTCTGAGGGACAATGCTCAGTTGACGTCATTTCAACTTCTTTGCTTCGGCCAGAGGTGGTTTTTTTTTTTTCTTCCATTTTTCTTCAGGTTACTCTTCTACTCCACCCAGCCCAGTGTCTGTCAGCCTGTGTGTGAAAGCTCTCCGGCATTGTCTGGTTGGTTTATGTGTTTCCTTATATTCGAACACAAAAATCCATAGTTGGGAGTGGTGACTTAGAAACTTGTTGTTTAGTAGAGGTGCTTTCTGTTGAAGCAGAAACATCCCCTTGTGACTATCACGAGAACCTCTCCTATCGATCCTGCATTTTATTTCTAAGAAGGTCCTAAGCAGCACGTAGCGTAGGGATGGTGCTGCCCTGATCTCCAGGGAAGCACACAGATGCAGTGCATGAGTTGTCATGGATTGCAGAAAAGAAACCTTTACTCCCCTGGTTACTACGCTTTCGTTTGTTTCAGTCATGAAGAAGATAAAAAGGGAACGCACGTTTATGAAGGGTCTAGAATGTGCCAGGCAGTGCGCTCTAAGGCATTCCTCAGCTCTTCTCATTTTTCTTATTTATTTATTCATTTTTTTTAGTATGGGGACTAAGGCTCCAGGTGTAAGTAACTGAGCTGAGGTCATATCCAGGTTGAATGCTCTTTGTGCACCCATGCCACCGATGGTCCAGATGGTTCCATTTAGTGGAAATGGAGTGTGGGTGGACCTGGTGTTCTAATGCACTTAGTTTCTGTTCCTTTTCTCTCCTCTCTCCAGCTGTACCTGCAGGCCCGCTTCACTTGGCGAGGGGCCCGCCTGCTCCGGCCCCTCCTGCAGTTCACCCTGATCATGATGGCCTTCTACACGGGACTGTCGCGCGTGTCCGACCACAAGCACCATCCCAGCGATGTGCTGGCAGGATTTGCTCAAGGAGCCCTGGTGGCCTGCTGCATAGTGAGTAACAGCTTGTTCTCAGTCCGTAAGCAAAGCCCCGGACGCCCCAGACGGTTTGCTTGTTGCATGTTTCCAGCTCAGCAACCAAAGCTAGCGAGCTCTCGATCTTTTTCTCTGCCCAGTGTACCAAAAGTCACCCCACCCTAGGACCCCTTCAGTAAAAAGACAGTACTTTCTGTTTCCTTCCAGCCTGTGAGTTTTCCTTCAGCAGAAAAGTCATCTTCTGTCTATTTCTGTTTCCTTCCAGCCTGTGAGTTTTCCTTCAGCAGAAAAGTTGTCTTCTGTCTAATCACGGCTCGTAAAACATTGCAGCTGGAAGAGATCTTAGATGTCCACCTTGCTCACTTTACTGATGAGGACATTTAGGGTTTGAGAGGGGAAGAAACTTGCCCCAGGTCACATGTCAAGTGACTAGCGGAGTCTCGTCCCTGACTCGTCTGGTGCTCACATGCTGCTTTGGCGGACACTTAAATTCACTAGAACTCAGCTTCTTGGGAAACTTCTATCCTTCCCACTGTGACCTTTAGGGTGACTTGGTCAGACTCTAAACCTGGTGTTGGCTAGAAAAGAGGGGGTTAGGTCAAGGCTAAGCCGTCTCCTGGCTAGCCCGAAGGGCCTTGTCCATCAAGAGAAGAGCCTAGAGAATGGCCTTGGGATGCCAGGTTCTCATTTGCCCCAGGTGACCGGGTTACCCTTTTCTCACACTTCATCCCTGACTCTCAGTGAGTGCGGCGTAAGGCATCTCACCTCCCTGAGCCTCCATCTCCTAAAGAATCTCTGTTTTACTTGCCTGTGAAAGGTTCGGAGGGGCTTATTCAGCAACCGTGAGGAGCACCTGCTCTCATCCTGTGCCTTCCCGGGCCCCACTCAAGGGCGCTCACGCCAGGCCCGTGGGAATCCCAGAGCACAGTAACGGCTGGATGTTTAGGCACCACACACACAGGTTGTGTTGTTTGTATAATCCTCGTCCCACCGACTGTAGGACTCGTGAACAATCCACAGATCTAGACGCGCCCTCGGCCTTGCCTCCCTTCTAAGCCTAACTGCGGCCCCGTGTCTCCCAACGATAGCCTCTTGCACTCCTTCTAATGGCATTTGTCACCCTGTGCTGACGTTGCAGATGTGTGTCTCCCTTGAGACTGACTGTAAAGTTCCCCAGGGACAGGGACCATAGGTGACATACGTGTTGCTCTCCCTATCTCACCAGCGCCTCTCAGGGAATCTAGCTCAGAGTAAGTAAATGTGTGTTTTAGTCAACAAAAATCGAGAATCAGTGGGTGGCTGCCTTCCTTGAGAACACTGCAAGGGACATTGTCTTGAAGGCAGAGGGATGAGTAAGGCAGGGCCCTTGCTCCCGAGGACATCCCAGTCTGGTTGCTCGCATGGCCGGCCAGCACAGCACCTGGAACACAGCGCACGTCGGCCGCAGGCGGGGGCCGGGTGCGGGCTGCGGAGGCAAGGGAGGGGGCGGGGGGCCGGGGCCATCAGAGCGGGCGCCACGGAGAAAATCGCGTCTGAGCTGCTTGCCAAGGCCCTGCCTGTTTCGATGGCTTTATTCATTTCTTTCTTTCTTCTTCTTCTTCTTTTTGTTCCAGTCAAGGCCAGAGAGGAGCGAAATTGTGGGAGCAGACCATTCATGGGGACAGCTGTCACTGGCCCTTTAACGCGTGGTAACAGCAGGGGTCCGGTGTTTGCAGGCAGAGGTCACCCTTTGCGGACTGGGCCCTTCTGAGCTGTGCTCTCGGCAGGCCGACGGCCCCCTGGCCCGCTGCTGTGTTTCCTTCTCCATGCTATGCTGCCTTCGTTAGTCTCCTGCACCCCCAACTTAAAGAGGTGCAGGGAGTCCTTCGTAGCCGTCCTCTTGCATATCCTAGAGCACTCGCCATGTGCAGTGAGACGGTGTCCGGGAGGACCCGGTTTGTTTTCAAGGAGGGAAGTGAGGGGTCTGACTTCTATCCTGTTTGGCTCTGGCTGACTGTAGGTTGGGATAGGAATTTGGTACTAGTGTTTGTAAAGCCCCGACTCGGTGCTGGCACCATTCTAGATCGTTTACCCGTTGGCTCCTTTTAGACACATGGAGCCATTTTATAGATGAGGTAACTGATACTCCAGAGAGATGAACCAAGGCATCCAAGGTCAGAACCGGTCGATGGCTGTCCCCACATGCCCCCTGACCCCAGAGCTTTGCCCTGTGCACTGGGCAAGGAAGGGTGGTCGCTGGAGCTGAAGGCCAGCCAGGGTTAACCTGAGGCAGAACAGCATAGACAGCTGCCTAAGGAGCATCATTTAAGGGTGTCACAGGGCCCTTCCCTACCCTTTGGGCTGATCTGGTCATTGCTTTGAGTTTTTTGGGGTTTTTGTTTGTTTGTTTTAAGATTTTATATATTTATTTGACACAGAGAGAGAGAGAGCACAAGCGGGGGAGCGGTAGAGGGTGAGGGACAAGCAGATTCCCCACTGAGCAGGGAGCCCAGTGTGGGGCTGATGTGAACCAGGATCCTGGGATCATGACCTGAGCCGAAGTCAGAAACTTAACCGACTGAGCCACCTAGGCGCCCCCATTGCTTCGAGTTTAAAAGCCTGTTTGACAATGTAAAGACGGTTTGGAAAGGGATGATAAATACCTTTCCCTGTTTTGGGCCTACTTAGCTGTGGACACATGAGGGCAGGGGTTTGGTCTTATTTACTATTTTTCTCCAAATGCCTAACACCCGGCCTGGTACTCAGGAGCTCGTAGTCCTGACAGGCTTGGCATCACAACTCGGAGCGATCCTCTTCACGGACGCCATCAGAGAGGCCAGGGCAAGACGCTGTGGCTAGTCAGCCCAAGAGCTCAAGAGTGCTCGGCGTGGAGGAGAGAAGGCAGTGGGCGATTGCTCATCACAAGAGCTGTGTCATCCTGGCTTTGAGTGTGAGGAAGACCAGCAAAGCTCAACCCCGGCCTGAGCTGGAGATGGGTCTGGGCAACCCAGAGGCCATGTGAGCACCCTGTGGTCGCCGGGGGAGGGGCCGGGTGGCGGGCCGTGGCCACACAGGTGGCACAGTGCCTCAGTGCTCTCCCGGAGCTGTGCAGTGGTGGCGTTCGTGGCCTCGGCCAGAGCCCGCGGCCTCTCCTCTATTTGTGTCTTGTGGCAGAAACTCCCCCTCGAGAACCAGGGCTGGCTGTCCCAGCGAATCCCAGGAAAAGCCAAGCACTCCTCTCTGAATGTGGCTGTAGGGAATGGATCTTGAAACACAGAGCACAGGGGCGTCTCCAGGGGTTGGTGAGGACCAGCTGGATGAGGCAGCACAGGATGGTACAAGGCCACTGCCCGGGTGCCAAGAACCCCAGAATCCATTTCCCCCTCTGCCTGATCACCTGAGCGGCCTTCACTGGACTCCCCATCACCTTAACAGAGAAGTAACATTTGCAAACATGTATGGAGAGCTCCGTGTGCCGGCCGTGATGATAAGCGCTTTTCACAGATCATCCGCAGTCCCCTGAAAATGCCGTTCTACCCTGTACCCGTGATCATCCTCTCTAAAGAGGAAGGGACGTGAAGGATCAAATACCACAGAGAGAAGGTAGAGAAGCCAGGGTTGCCCGCAGGTGGTCGACAGAGCCAGTTTTGTGAGACCCAAGGGCCTGGTCTCCTCCACTTGACACCCCTCACCTCCAGGCACTCCAGACTTCTCAACATTTCCCACACCCTGAGCTCCTGTTTTGGATGGTGGTCCCCCTTTGATGGAGCATGGCTTCGGTTTCACCCCATCGCTGGTGGAACTTTCCGTGTTTCCCATGTTGTTGCTGAAACAAATTACCTCCAACCTAGTGGCTTAAAACAACACAGATTTACTTTCTTGCAGTTCTTGAGTTTGGAATTACAAAATAGGTCTCACCGGGCTAAGATTAAGGTGTTGGCAGGCTGTGTTCCTTCTGTTGGCTCGAGGGAGAATTTGTTTCCTTGACTTTCCCAGCTTCTGGAGGCTGCCTGCATTCTTTAGCCAATGGCACCTTCCTCCCTTTTCAGATCTTTCTTTCATTTTCTCTGGCCTCTGCTTCCATCACCACATCTTCTGAGATTCCGACTCTCTGCCTCCCTCTTAGGGCTCTGGTGACTCACTGGGTCTGCCTGGTGAATCCAGGAGAATCTGCCCATCTTGAGGTCTTTAACTTCATCACATCTGCAAAGTCTGTTTGGCCATGGAAGGTGACATATTAGCAGGTCCTGGGGATTAGGACACAGACATCTTCGGGGGACCATTGTTCACCTGCCACACCTTCCCCTCCCTCTTTCCTGAAGACAGAATTGTCTGACTTTCTCCTCCTGCTCCCATGGCCCTTTGCATGGTCTTCCTGCTGTGGTCTTCAGCCTGGTTTTATTGTGGTTGACTGCCCAAATGTCCATCTCCCCAGCTAGACGGCCAGCGTCTTAATAGCAGAACCCATGGCTTCACCTTCTGGTGATTCGTTCTCACGCTTAGTGCAGCGGCCGGCACAATAGGCGCTTGCTGAGCCTTGGTTAAAGAACGAGTGATGAATGAGCTTGTGACCTCAGGCCAGACACTTCCCCTCCGAGCCTAGTTTCTTCATCCGGCAAATGGATGTTGCAGGCCCCGTAGCTCTGGGACCTTCTCCCACAGAAGTTCAAAGGTGTAGCTGACTTTGTAGTGACTAAGCTCGACCTCCCTTCTCAGATGGAACCGTCTCCCTGCAGTGCCCGTGAAGGGGGCCTCTACACGGGGATGGGGACTTGTCTGTAAGTCTCCGGTGGGTGCAGTGCATCACCCTAGAATGTTGGCTGAGTCACTGCAGAGCCTTGGGCAACAGGCCACGACAGCTTAGCACTTTCACCTAGGTCTGTGCAGAGTAAGTCCTGTCCCGGCAAGCAAATGTGTCTAGACAAAAACCACGTGCCAAGCAGGAACCGATTCAGTTTCCTCCCTGCCAACTGCTCTCTCGTTGAACCCTTTCCAGAGAGGAAAGATGATGGCACTTGTCACAAACAGAAAGCCTCTGT